CGCTAGCAAAACGCCTAAGAATGTATCAAGTCCACGATCCGAAGCTGAAAATTAGCATAGATACTATGGACTTATGACAAGGTGCGTTCCCATAGGTCGTCCTGACAACACAACCAAGTTGCGAAAACCACTTGTTTAAAAATTAAAGATAGTGTAAAGATTGTTACAAGGTAAAAAAAGTAATATGGAGGATAATTGTCACCTGGTAGAAAGCCATACGCTCTTTGAGATTTTCTAAAGTTGCTGAATTTGATGAAGTTGGCGACCTGCCTTCTGAAGCTGGTTGCTGGTGCAGAGAGGGGTCATCCAGACCAGAGTCTTGGGTGGCCAAACTCTTAAACTGATCTGGAGGGGGGGGCATATCACTCTCAGGATCGAACTGCTCTTCTCCAAGCTCTATACGAGGAATAACCTCACCCAAAATCTTGACAACGTGTAGGAGCTCCTTGGCGCGAGCCAAATTACCCGTCTCACGAGCACGTAAGGCGGCCATCTGATTAGTATAAAAGTTTGTACACAAATTAGTGTATCAATATAATATCATAAAATAAAGGATTAGGTAGAAGTAATCACTCCTTATTAGACTATCAATTATATGTCGATCATTCAACCAGAATTTATGAACCGTAAGAACAATATATAAATCCGCAGCCATGAAACTGTTTTTTTATCAGCCAAATACTTTAGTGAGAGAAATTAAGTGTTGATACTTGTAATAGGGGAGAAACAAACAAACATACGATACAGACAAAGCCCACCTTAACATAAGCCCAATCTAAGATTTCCAAAGTTTATTAAAGCGCAACATTGTGAATAGAAGTGAGTAACTAGACAGTTTCAGCAAAATACCCGAGTGATATGTTATATAAAAGCTGTCTACTATATTAATAGATTCCGATGGTTTTTCTGACCCATTATGCTGTTTTAATCGACGTATTAAAAGCAACCCATAAGGGTCAAAGGTTTTAACACTAAAATGTGAATTCCCTGGAACTTTATACTTAGGCCATTCCTAACCTCGATTAAATAGATGCTTTCTGGAATTATATCATTATGCTTGGTTAGCACACTTGGAATTCTACCTACGAGTCAGGCGTTTAATTGCCCGCAGCTAATATCGTAGTTACGATTTAGTATTATCCCTGAAGAGCTTGAAAACTTATGAGCAATTGAATATGATCAAATGAGTATTTTAAAAAAGGTTTTATATATGTATATATGTTATTTTTTTGTTAGCCTCGTGGTCCTGAAAGCTCTGACATAGTCACTCTCCTTTAAATAATAATTCACACTCATAAATCCGTATACTAATTCTGTTCTGCGGGACCATATATATTCAAAATTTTATTTTTAATGTCTAATATGCTAAGAATACTGTCTATATTTAATATTTTTATACTTCACCTGTTGCGTATAAACATTCACTTGAGATATAGTACAACAGAAACCCATAGGAAGGTGTTGTTAATGAGTCTACCGACTTTCCATTCTTCAAAGTTATAATGACTGCGAGATTCAATAGAAAGCAGGTATTTAAAAACGTGATAAGTTCCAAATCTTCAGTTTACCAGCCAAGCAGTATGCTATAATAACAAATAGTTATACGCTAGATCCCAAAAGGCTAATTAAATTTATTAATAAAACTCCAAGAAAACAGTTGAAAAGTAATGATATTGCCTATATCTGAAAAATAATAAAATATGTGGAGCCAAATTGACGAGAATATGCTACTATTCGAGGGATGAAATAGAGAAACGCGTGAAACTAGCGCTTGAGTATAATTAAACCTAGTTTAGATGGTGATATTATACGTGTAAATAAAAATTAAACAACAAAGACGCACATTGCAATAAAGGGACATGACATATTAGTGGCTCCTAATGTAATTATTTTATTTAAGCATGAATGCCACAAATTATGCTAGCCAATTGAATAGTATAGTATAAAAAATAATCAGTAAAATGAAATTTTGGAAACTACCTTATACTCTTTCTGCCTCTTTTTTAAGGTGCACAAATGATCAGTTTTTTGAGGGTTGACGTAATCAAGTAGTATTCTCTGGCCATTTGATTTGGGAATTTTTTGAAAGGCATTACATTCTGAAACTGTTCCGGGAGAATCTACTTTGAGGGAAACGTTACTCTGTTCATATTATTAGTATCACGTGAAAATAAAATATAAACAAAAGTAAAAGTAAACTTACTGAATGATTGACAATGTGAGATCTAGTTGAAAGCGGAGGCATCGGAGGAAGTTCATGAGAATATAACGTTTTTCCTTGCGCTAGATTTGCTGCCATTTCATTAATCACTGCGAGGGATCGTTCATATCGTTTTATCTTATATGTATTCGCATCACTTCCTCCAGCCTTTAGGTCTTCGATTACCTTTTCATACTGATAACCCCTTTCTTGAACCTGTTGAAGGGTCAAGATGCGATCAGCAGCAAAGGCAACTTCATGAACCTGTTGAGAAGATTCCCCAAGTTCAGATTCTTTATACCTGTCTGCATCATTGATAGAGGATAAGCCAATCATTTTGGCATCATTAAGACACGACTCTAATTCCAAGAGCAAATCAGGATCGTCTTCATTCACATCTGTAACTGAATCAGTGCTAAAATCCTAAATGTAATAGTGGATGAATTTTTTTTATGCATGAAAAATTAAAAATATAAAAAATGAGCATTACATCAGGCGCTGAATTATTGTGCTTGAAGAGCTGCTTTGCAATGTTTATATCTGATGAACCGTAGTCTTCACCAATAAGGGCCATAAACTCGCGCTCCAAATCATTTTGATCAGGAATAGAATGGCCGGACAACCCAAGACCAAGGAGGTCCATTAATTCATTATCGGCAACATTAGGTTTGCGAGGCATTCCAACTGAGCGGAGATGTGGAAGGGTATATAGAACACATAAAAACATCTGGTGTGCCGTTGATTCAAGAATGACAAAGAAGAAAGAATATGGTTTTATAATACAAAAATTATAAGTTTATAAAAATTAAAAAGAGGGATTCGGCCTGACTTATTTAATTGAATAATTTATAAAAACTAATATAGCAATATTTTTGTTATTGAAAAGGCAAAATGTACTGTGTAAATCAGAGTTCTTTCATATGACCTTTGCTTTTATGCAGTAAATTCTTAGTAAAAGTCTCTATTATTCAAAATGTCTTTCCTGAGCATGCTTGGTATAGAAATCCATACAATAACAAATATTTGTAGAGAAATGAACCGTGACTATATTCTAATTTAATTCATGGACTTTATTTGCCATTTAAGGGTACAATACGCTATTTTCTTTGACTAAGATGGCCGAGAGCTACTCATATTCGACTTGCTTTGCCTATTAATTTTTTTATCGTATTCTTTTATAAGTTTTCATAAACGAGATTTGAATTTCATTTATTAACTCACTTTAGATGTATTTACGTTTTTATACCTTTCGCTTTTCTAGAAAAGGTTTGTGAATATGTTTCACTAGGAGCCTAAGGTGGCTTGCCGTTAATTTTTGACTATAGAATTATAAAAATAACTCTTCTTTCTACTGCCTTGCGGCCCGATAAATCGGTGTAGGGGTTTTG